TTTCAAAAGGGCTACAAAACTTTCCTTTGAGCTGCACGGGCCTTCAGAGCACCTTCATGGGTGTCGCAGCTCCTTAGTGAGGCTTCCTGTTTATCCAGACTACAGTGGAACAACCATTAATACACTCTTTCGTCTGCTTAGAAGCTCTTAATCCAAACACTAACGAAGAACTGGGCGCATACAGCTGCTGATTTACCCTAGGGATCTGTTCTGCTTGTTCATTTGTCTCCTGCGGCTCCCGGCATCAGCCTCGATGAGTGTCAGAGCAGGCCAAGTTCCCCACTTCTACACTTGTGTAGAGTTTTCAAATGGTGTCGCTATCGCTGATTCCCCTCTACCTCTGCTTTTGTAAGTCAGTACCCAAATTAGCTTCCACAACCCTTTCCGCAGGGGGTACCCCTGGAGTTAGTAGAGAAGTCAGGGAACCTGGATATAATGGGGACAAGTTGAATCTAGGCTTGAATTGAGTGTAATGAAAATAGGAGAGTTTCAAGATGCAAATGTTAACCTCTTGAAGGACTTGACTAGACAGAGGAGAGGGCTTTCTCCTCTGCAGACAAGCACTCCCCTCTTCTCCTGGGGAACTCCGTGTTCACGAAAGTCATGCACACAGCCTCGCCTAGACTTCCAATCCCTGAGAGCTGGTACAGGGAGAGGGTGGCACAGAGTCGCTCTTGCAACCTGGCCAACCCCTACACCCCAAGATGAACTGCCCAGAGGCCACAGCTAACGCGTCCCCCCACCCCAAAGGAAAGTGGCTTTCGAAGACCCTGAACAGTCAGGCCCGGAAGGACAGCAGCAGAGGTAGTACTCCTCAGCCCAGAATTCCGAATCTCTGCTTCAGACTGTCTGCGAAAAAGCCTCTTCGGGAAAGCCGCCCCACTGCACCCTAGCCCCAGTCCTAGCTGTGCGTGGATGCTCTCAGGTTCTCAATTATGGCGCCAAGGAAAGTGGCGCAGAGATGCCCTTCAAGCCGAGAAAGACGCCCTCCAGAGGGGGCTCCAGATCCTCTCTCCGTTCCTTGGATGTGCGGGCTGCAGAGAGCCCTGACCCCCAGCACCCAGTTGTGTTCCCGCTGTCTGGGCCAGGTTACCTGGATGGCACCTGGGGGTTCGGGTCAGCTTGGCCCTGGCGCTTGCACCTGGCTGCAGGGACGGCAGAGGCGCCTATGAGCTTCTTATATGGGCTAGACTTAGATTCACAGTAACAGTTCCTTCCCTTTGCTAGCGAATGGTATGACTTACAAACCTGAGCACATCATCTCATCTTTAAATATTTTAATCCTAAACGCAATACGGAAGGCACCGAGGACAAGTTATCATTGCTGCCTTTTTTGAGCCTGTAGAAAATAAATAAAATGGGGTCTTGCTCTGGAGGAGTGTCATACCACACCCTCTGTGATGGGAATCCACAAGAGCCTACCACAAATCCTGCAAAGCCCAGGCCTGAAGCCCAGGACATGTGGATTCTACTAAAGGGCTCTTCCCATGTTTCTGGAGAACGTGAAGATCAGGAAATGAGCAGAGACTTACACACAAAAAATTTTTACCACATTTTCGATGTGGGTTGTATCCTGGAGTAATATGTGTCATAAAGTAGCTCCATAATATTGGGTGATCTAGTGTTAATTTATAAGCTCTATGAGAGCTATACCCAATTTGAGCTATATCCAGTTTGTATATAAACCTGGATTTTCAGGCCTAGCACAGAGACTGGCATGGAACCTGTAATCAGGAAATTGTTATTTGTTAACTGACTCATGAATTATGATAAAACTTGGAGGAAAATAATACTGGGAAATCTGTCCTCTCACCACACTAAAAAAAAGTGTGAAGGCCCATGAAAGGAATTAGGGGGGAGAAGGGGGGGGAGTGAAAGAGGCATGTCCTTTCTATTCCCACCTGTCCAGAGATTCAGATTCTGAATTAATCTGCTGTTTGAGCTCATAGTTATAAGTTACGGAGGAAGCGACCCATGAAAGGAGATGGGCCTTTCTCATTGGCCCTACACACAAGTCACAAAGACTGTTGGCAATTCTGTGTGTTGGCCACCTGGTCTGGACTTGTGTCCCCAGTTCATAGATTCCAGGCCAAGCAGCAGCCAGCAAAGCAGAGTGTGACCAGGATGGAGGGAGAAGTATGTGGTCGCTCCAGAGCAGGACCCTACCCAGTCACTGTCCCACAGCTACCATCAACCCCGGTAGTGAGTTACTTCCAAAATAAAGGAGGAGGTGCAGTAGCACGGTCCTACAGGGTGCACTTGGGGTTCCCAAAAGTCCACTATAGTCATGGAGAAAGTACTGACTTTTTTAGGGATCCCCTATTTAGGATGAGTCTGGGAGGCCCCAGAAAGAAAGCACTTTCTTTGGCCTGGAGGAGGTGTTTGGGCCAAGGGAGCAGTTCTCAGGGTCCTTGCCTGGCAAGCCCCTTGGGTAGATATCAGAGATATCTATATCACTCTCCCCTCACAAGACCCCTTAGTTTTTGGACATTCTCAACAGTGCAGTGTATATCTGGGAAACAGTGTGGGGCTGTGTGGTTTGTGTGTGTGTGTGTGTGTGTGTGTGTGTGTGTGTGAGAGAGAGAGAGAGAGAGAGAGAGAGAGAGAGAGAGAGAGAGATGGGCACTCTCTGGATTGCCCTGAGTTGCCAAGCAGGAGTTGTTGCCCAAGCTGCAAGCCCCCTGGCTTCTGCTCCAACTCTGCCAGCTTTTTCTGTGCCTGCCTGGTGGTTGTGCTTAGGGAACTCATTCCAGGGGGAGCCTGTGTGGGAGGGCAGGAGCAGCCTGCAAGTGGGCTGGGGCCTGCTGCATGACTGCAAAGTAGCTGAGGGTCCAAGGTTGCACCACCCAGGAACTTGCAAGACCCACTCAACTCTTCCCTTTAGGGGGTAAGCGGAGGAGGAGTGGAGGGGACTGGCGCTAACAATGACTACAGAAATCCCGAGTGAGGCACTGAACTTAAACATTTCAGCTTTCAAAGCTCTTTTATGTGTGCGATCTTGAGTCCACAAAAAACCTGGCGAAGAATTGCCTCCGTTTCTAAATGGTATTGAGACTGAGGGAGACACACATTTTAGATCTGGTATTTCTTGCACTTACCAATAATACGAAATAATGGAGCAGAGGGGAAAAAAGAGAGAGAGACAGTGTCTAGAAAGCCCATCCCCCTCACCCCCCTTGGCATTAAGACCCCAGTGAAGACACAGGCCTGGGCCCGCCTGAATGATGCCTATGAAAAAATCTGTATTTATTTTTGCCGGCTGTCCTAGACCATTTACTTGACTCCAGCGTCCTCGCCCCTCCTCGTTCTCAGGACTTCGACAGGAGTTGATGGGGTCTGACTCTTTCCTGTGAGCGCCCCCCAGAGAAGCCACCCGGAAGGCAGGACAAGGAATCCAGTTTCCCACCTGTCTGTCACAGCACAACTCGCAAGCGCGTCTCGGTGCCAAACGCAGCGTTGCTGCCGGGACGCGCCCGAGGGCTACGCAGGAACAAGTGCCCTCGATGGGGGTGGGGGTTTGGGTCCTCTGAGTTTTCGCTTCCCCTGGTAAGGCAGGTCGGTGGTGAAAGAAGCTAGTGCTATTGCAGACACTAATGTGTATGACGGAGTGCAGAGCATTTCTCAAGGAGAGGACTGAAATTTTAAAATAAAAACTTGTCAATCAACAAAACCGCTTTCAGCACGACAATTGCTATTAATGAAAAGGTGCCTATCCTGCAGAATTAAATAGCTCAAAGTGCCTGTTCATTACCGGGAGCCTCTTCTCGGCAAGGAGGTGAAAGAAAATGTGAAAACAAAAACCAAATTCGGGAAGCCTCCTTGACTGCCCCTACAGTGTTCTGGAGGCTCCTGCCTGACCACCGAGCAGCCTGCGATCCCAGTCGCTAGAACGGAAAGGGGATGAAAAAGAATTTAAAAAAAATTAAACAACAGCAAAAACAAAAACAAAACATTTTAAAATCCCAGGAGAAAAGTCGGAATGAGTGTCTGGAACTGCGCGGCGCAGAGTTCTGCTCCTTAGTCCACCCGGCTGGAGCCCCGGCCTGGCCCCAGCAGCAGCGGTGGAAGCCTCCGGCCCCGCTGGGAAGCTCGTCCACAGCTTCCCCTCTCCAAGCGCCCAAGGACCCTCAAGGCGCGGGGCTCACACTTGAAGCCTGGGAACGCGCAGACAGGAAACTCACTTCCTCCTAAGCAGTTTCTTGCTCGCCGGATGAGAGGCGCCCAATTGAAGCAGAATGATCCTCATCTACTAATATCCAGCGTGGCCACAAAGCGACTGGCCATTTACGCCGCCACTTTAAACAAAGATATTTGGTTATTCCCGGGGAAGCAAGTGCACTTTTGCATGGCTGAGCTCCGGGCGGAGGCGAACCTCAGCCCAGCCTCCCGCCCGCAGGGCTGTTCGCGCGTCGGGATTCGCCCCCTCCCAGCCTGCTAGTCCCACCGGGGTTCAGGCTCAGTTCCGTCGGCAACAGGCGGGCGGGCACTCACGACGCTCCCTACTTGCTCCCTCCCTGAAGCATCAAAGGGGAAAACTGCGTGGCCTTGGGCTTGGGTGTTGGGGCTGTGATGTCCTCGGAAAGTCAGCTCCAGGCCCAGAATCCCGCGTGTCCGGGCGATGGGAGAGGGTCGGGGACACCAGGTTTGTTCAAGGTGGGGCAACTTCAGTAATGCCCCCTCCTGTTAGTCCCTCCACCCCCAGCTTCCCTGCTTCCGCGGCCAGTGGAGCTCTAACCTCTGCCGGAGGTGGGGGTGGGGAAAGGGAGCCAATTGTGGGGGTGGGGGTGGGGTGGAGGCGTGATACAGGGGGCCCTAACCCGCGGAGGAGAGACCCTAAGTTGGGGGAGGAAACACGGGGATCTGGGACAGCCTCTCCGTGGCAGCCGATCCCCAGCTCAGCGCCCCCTCCGCCCGCTGGGATTCACTCTCGGGTAGGGGGAAAGGGGGCGGGGAGCAGAGGTGTCCCTCTGACGGCGGCAGAAGAGGCAGACAGACTGACAGACACGCAGACCAACAGTGCGGCCCCAGGGTTCGTCCCCAGACTCGCGCGCTCATTTGGTGGCGACTGGGGGCTCGGCGCCACGAAGCCCGATGTGGTCCGGAGGCAGTGGGAAGGCGCGGGGCTGGGAGGCCTCGGCGGGAGGGAGGAGCAGCCCCAGCAGGCTCAGGTGAAACCCCTATCCCGTCCCTCGGCCCCCTCCCTTTAAAGACCTGTCCCACCCCGGTAACCCCGACTGAATTAGAAAGTGGGTTCCACTTTGTAACTCCGCAAGTTGGTTGCAAAGCAGCATTCACCTTCCTTCCTCCCCACCATCCCTCCTCCTCTGCTACTCCCCACCCCACCTCTTGCCCTCCCTTCTGTGGGTTCCCTCCTCCTTTCCTCCCCCCCACACCCCCCCCCCCCGCGCCCCCCCCACACCACAAAAAATAGGGGGGGGGGGGGTCCCGGGGGGAAGGGGAAAAAAAAGCCTCCGGGAACCTCCCCGCCCCCCCCCCCCCCCCCCCCCCCTTGAAAACCAAAAATCCTGACAAGTGAAACTTAAAGGTGTTTACCTTGTCATCAGCATGTAAGCTAATTATCTCGGGCAAGATGTAGGCTTCTATTGTCTTGTTGCTTTAGCGCTTACGCCCCGCCTCTGGTGGCTGCCTAAAACCTGGCGCCGGGCTAAAACAAACGCGAGGCAGCCCCCGAGCCTCCACTCAAGCCAATTAAGGCGGACTCGGTCCACTCGGTTACGTGTACATCCAACAAGATCGGCGTTAAGGTAACACCAGAATATTTGGCAAAGGGAGAAAAAAAAAGCAGCGAGGCTTCGCCTTCCCCCTCTCCCTTTTTTTTCCTCCTCTTCCTTCCTCCTCCAGCCGCCGCCGAATCATGTCGATGAGTCCAAAGCACACGACTCCGTTCTCAGTGTCTGACATCTTGAGTCCCCTGGAGGAAAGCTACAAGAAAGTGGGCATGGAGGGCGGCGGCCTCGGGGCTCCGCTGGCGGCTTACAGGCAGGGCCAGGCAGCAGCGCCGGCCGCGGCCATGCAGCAGCACGCCGTGGGGCACCACGGCGCAGTCACCGCCGCCTACCACATGACGGCGGCGGGGGTGCCCCAGCTCTCGCACTCCGCCGTGGGGGGCTACTGCAACGGCAACCTGGGCAACATGAGCGAGCTGCCGCCTTACCAGGACACCATGCGGAACAGCGCCTCCGGCCCAGGATGGTACGGCGCCAACCCAGACCCGCGCTTCCCCGCCAGTAAGTGAGGCCGCCCACCGCAGGGCCGCGGGCTGAGCGCGGGAGGCGCGGGCTGAGCCGCCCGGGAGGCGCGGTGTCTGCCGGCTGCGCGCTGGGCGCCAGGGTGGGCGGCTGGGCAGAGGCTCCGGGGAGTCCAGCGGGGGAGCCGGAGACTTTTCCCTCTGCCAGGCTGAAGGGTCCAACAAGAGGCAATTGGTAGCGCTGGGCTCCTGCGGGCAAGCGCTGGTATTCGGTATCCCCCAGATGCCGCCGTCTGGCAACTCTGTTCGGCACTGGAGACTTCGGAGCCCGAGGGAGGTGTCCCGCACAATTGAGGGAACCTGGGCAAGCAGGGCGCGGAGAGGTGCGGCCTGGCCGGGTGGGAGGCTGCCCTGTTGGGACGCACTCATGCGCCGGGCCCGTCCCGCTCTCCAGCCTGTTCTAGGAAGGTGGGAGGATGTGTGACTCCAGAGTGGGCTCTACATGGGCCGCGCGAGTACCTTCACCGAGGCCGACAGGAGAGCGGGGCCAAGAGCAAACGTGTCTGAAGGGCTAGCTTTCGGGAGAGAACACCTCCCTCTCCTAAGCTCCCCCAATTGGGGTCTACCGTCGGACCCCAACTCCTGGCCTGGGCCCAGTTCGCCGCTGTGTGTGTGGCCCGCTAACCCCGCGACTCCGGCCCGGGTTGGGCGCGAAAGGACACGAGCTGCCTTTCTTCGCTGTGCTTTTTGGGAGGTAGCCCGGGTTGAGGCGGGGAACTCTCCAGTAACGTCCTCGACGGCATGGCCTGGGACAAGCGCTGGCGATGCCCCGCGACTGGGCCTATCCGGGCGGAGGTGGCCTAGGTGAGGAGGGCGCCGTCGGGGCGGGCCGGGCCGGACTAGGGCTAGCAAGGCAACGGTAGCCTGGCCCGGCCCGGCCCCGGCCGACGCTGTGCGTTTGTCGCTTACAGTCTCCCGCTTCATGGGCCCGGCGAGCGGCATGAACATGAGCGGCATGGGCGGCCTGGGTTCGCTGGGGGACGTGAGCAAGAACATGGCCCCGCTGCCAAGCGCACCGCGCCGGAAGCGCCGGGTGCTCTTCTCCCAGGCGCAGGTGTACGAACTGGAGCGACGCTTCAAACAACAGAAGTACTTGTCGGCGCCCGAGCGCGAGCACCTGGCCAGCATGATCCACCTGACACCCACACAGGTCAAGATCTGGTTCCAGAACCACCGCTACAAGATGAAGCGTCAAGCCAAGGACAAGGCGGCTCAGCAGCAACTGCAGCAGGACAGCGGCGGCGGCGGCGCCGGCGGGGGCGCCGGGTGCCCGCAGCAGCAGCAGGCGCAGCAGCAGTCGCCACGCCGCGTGGCTGTGCCGGTCCTGGTGAAAGACGGCAAACCCTGCCAGGCTGGCGCTCAGGCGCCTGGCGCCGCGAGCCTACAAGGCCACGCGCAACAGCAGGCGCAGCAGCAGGCTCAGGCCGCGCAGGCGGCCGCGGCCGCGATCTCTGTGGGTAGCGGAGGCCCTGGCCTGGGTGCACACCCGGGCCACCAGCCAGGCAGCGCGGGCCAGTCTCCGGACCTGGCGCACCACGCCGCCAGTCCCGCGGCGCTGCAGGGCCAGGTCTCCAGCCTGTCCCACCTGAACTCCTCGGGCTCGGACTATGGCACCATGTCCTGCTCCACCTTGCTATATGGTCGGACCTGGTGAAAGGACGCGGAGCCGGGCCTAGCCCAGCGCGCTGCCTCACAGCTTCCCCTTCTGCCCGCCACTCACCACAACCACCCGCCGCTCCAGTGCGCTTCGACTTTTCTTAAGAACCCGTCCCCGTTTAGACCAAGGGAAAAGTACAAGGCCAAAACTGCTGGACGTCTTTTTTCTTTTTTAAAATTTGTGGGATTTATTTTTTAAAAAAGAAAATAAAAACTAACTCCTTAAGGAGTCTTTAAATAGAGAAGGATATAACAAGCATTGCTTTGGGGATGTCTTTTAGGTGATTCAAATGGGTTTCACACGCTGGGGCCGGGCACAGTTTGATGAGGGCTCTGCGCTGACAAGGCTCTGGACTCCAGAGATCGGCTTTGGACTCTAAAGATCGAAACTTCATTCTGGGTACTCTGTGCCAGCAAGGTGGACTCGCTTGTACATACCAGGATTTCTTTGGAAGGGGAACCTGGGGCTGGGGAGAGGAAAGACTCTTTGTCACAGACACAAAGGAAATGTCCCCTCCCTGTGCCCTCTGGCCGCCCAGGCTCAGTGGGGACCCGCCCTGGCTAAAGTTGTTTTACGTTTGATGTGAACTTGTAGCTGTAAAACACCGTCAAAAGTTGGACTAAACGCCTAGTTTTTAGTAATCTGTACATTTTGTTGTAAAAAACAAACAAACAAACAAACCCAGTCCCCAGCCCCAGCCCATGGTATTTTTAATGGGCATTGATAAATCTGTGTATATTATTTGGCAGTTTGGTATTTGCAGCGTCAGTCTTTTTTCTGTTGTAACTTATGTAGATATATGGCTTAAATATAGTTCCTAAGAAGCTTCTAATAAATTATACAAATTAAAAAGATTCTTTTTCTGATTAAAAATCCTCCTTTTGTTTGGTTTTAATTTGACTTTAAGTGAAATTGTTTTGGTTGAGGGAATGGCTCCTCATCAGCCTGATGGGATTTAAGTTGTTTGGGGGCTCAAAGGATCCTGAATTAACCAAAGGGCTGGGCCCGGAATCCTTGTCCCCTGGGAAGAAGGAGTTCTGTTCTGCCACTGAATGGAGTGGAAGCAAAACCTTGCCCAGGCCTGGGTCTCAGCAATAGAGAGGAGAAAAGCTAGAGGACTTCAACCATGAAGGAAAGGGAGAGAAGAGAGAAAGAGAAAGAAACCAAGGGACTCTTTTTCAGAGACAGTTTTCTCCTTTTAGAAACCTCAGAAGTACCTATTGCGGTCTCCGTATAGCTGAGTCAACTTTCAAAAACAGTCGGCCAGGACATCCATTTTATAATAATCCTGCATACACTATGCTATCATTTTTAATGAAATGGGCTTGTCCCTGTAGATTTGAACATCAACCCTTTTTTTCAGTTCAGAATGCCATCTCATTTAGACATCTAAGGTCCAGAAGGAGACTTGTTTTGGACAGTGGGAAGCCCAGGTTCCCTTTCTGTTCTAAAACAAGGATCTTTATGCAGTGAATGACTAGCAGTAGATGCTTGGTTTCTCTAGGCCTCTGAGCCTTGGGTATGTTGGGCTGAGCTGCTGGCTTAGGGATACCCCCGGCAGAACTTGGGCAGCTTGGACTTCTTTGTTTCACAGATTTCCAGTCTGGGTTCCTAAATCTTTACAATAAGGAATCTTTCTGCTGTTCCTAATGCTCCACCTCTCTTCACCCTCCAGCAAAAACCAAAGGTATCTTTGACCTTCCTTCCTACCACTAATTTCCTAGTTTCTTGGTGCCCAGATGTGTGTGTGTTGGAGAACTTGGTTTGTAATAGGGAGGAGAGAAGGAAACTGGTTGTTGCAAAGAAATCATAGTCCATAAGTGGGCTGTTGCCTTTGCTATGTCACTCCTGATATAACTGTGTAGGAAAAGATATCCCTCAGCACACTTTTCTCTAGTTTGGAAAGCGATTGTGGGAGATTGTGGGGGACTGACTCAAATTTAGCGTACACTCACTTCTCGATTAGAATGTCAACTTTCTCTTTTCCTTTTTTGCCGCTCTCCAACTCCTTCCTTTTCATCTCATATTCCTCTCAGTCTGGGTCTTTCTTCCCCTCCACTCCTACCACCTTCTCTCAAGTATCATTCCACCCCAAACTTGTAAGGGATATTGCCTGACCTGGAGCCCTGCTCCACACAGGTGATTTCCATCACGCTCCTCTCTCTAGGATGCTAGGTAGGCTTCTTCCACTGGACTCTGAGATAGAGTTTTCAACTGCCAGAAGGGACTCGGAGTTTCTGAAAAGATGGTTGGTTGGATCTAGAGAATGTGATGGGGGAGGGGGTAAAATCTCAGCAAGCCTCACATTTTCGAAAACAAATTAAACAAATTGCAAAGTTTGAATACTTGTATTGGGATGGACAGCAGTGGTTGGAGAATAGGGTGTGTAGTGGCCAGGACATCTAGCCCAGGCCAAAACTTGGCAGGGGAAATACTTGGCTCTAAGCTCTAAATTCCCAAATCAGTGGAAGTGGAAACTTACCACAACCCATTCCCTCCCCTACACAAGCCTTGTCAGGGTGGTGATGCCTGTCCTGATAATGGCTTGTGGCGGCCCAACCACCCATTCTAAGATAGAGCAGGACCCTGACAGTCACAATTTTAGTGGGTTGTAGTTCCCTGCACTAGATGGAGTTTTTGTCAAATACATTCTTCTCCCTGCTGTCTAGAGCCGGCTTAGTTTGAAGTTTGTTTACTTGTCCCAGGGAAAGGTGAATTCAGCCTGATCTTCAGATAGGACTGAAACACACTTGGCCTTGAGATAGTCTCTCCATCAATCCAGTGGGGTCCAACAGCTTCCCGGTCCTAGGCTAGAAGTTGCTGTAGCTATAGGAAGCAGCCCTGGATCGAAATCTGAAGCGTCTTGAGAGGGAAATAGATGTGCTGGGCTTAGCGACAGACTGCAGCCTGGGGACATCCTCCCACCCCATACGCAGGCCAACTTCTGGGAAACCTATCCTGTCCTCTCCCGAAATTGACCTCTCCCAAGGTCTCCAGCTTTTCTGGCCCTGGAAGTTTCTGCCTCTCCGGAGGAGAAATCAGCCTGCTGAGGATGCCCTGGCACCGAAGCGACTGGAGAAGCCAAGACACTTCTCCAGTGTGGGGGCAATGCTTCTGGCTGGAGGAGGCCCAAGCACCCCACCTATCTCAAGGCCCCCAAGGCTATGAAGAGTGGGGGATATTTTGCAGATGGCTCCCCCCTTCCTCTTCTTCCCCACCCCCACCCAGCCTGTAAACACGAGGACTTTCTCGAGAGCCCTGGAGAGCGGCTCTAGTGGCTTCAGGGCCTGAAACCCCAGGCTTGGCTTGTTTGATGTTTAGCATCCCAAAGCGGCTCCCCACCCCCGCCCAGCCTGGGAACCCGGAGCTGTGGGTAGGGGAGGCAGGAAAGCAGCCTTCTCATCAGGCCAGGCCAGGGGCCGGGCGGGGTGCAGGTCAAGTAAGAAGAGCGTGATAGAGATGCTCTGAGCAGGGGGGAGGAGAGCCTGGGTTGTCGTTGTCCCTAACCCAGACACAAGCGAGTACAGGTGGAGTCCTCAAAGACTTGAGGCAGGAGTGCCTCAGCAGCCGCGGCGGCTCTGGGATAGAAGCTAACCTAGTGGGAAGTATCTTGGGGCCCCGCGAGTGAAATCAGAGCCGGGCGGGAGCTGCCTCTGGGAGAAACGCTCTGGGCGCTTATTCCTGGAGGCGGGGGAGGCCGCGCGCGCTCCAGTCCAAGGGCCTTACAAGAGTCATCTTTTAAACCAAGTTAGAGCTTGGCCTTTCAAAGGGGAGGACCACCTCGTGCGCCTTCTCAGGGATTTCAGAAATCTGCCAGTGTCAGGGTATGGCCTAGGTCTGTATCCAGGTCTCCGATTTTGAGACCCTAGAGAAGAAACTCAGACCTCAGAGGCCGCGCACTCTTTGAGCGGGCTCACCGGCTAAGGGTGTCTGCGAGGGGTTATCTCCAGTCGCTAGTGCACAAAAGGTAGCTTGAGTCTCTACTCAGGCGACCCAAGATAAGAGGAAATGAGAGCTGGGTTTCCCGATTTCCAACTCATTAGGGACCAGGTAAGGTCAATGCTTTCTCTATTATGTCTTTATCTTAAAAGGGGGTCAATTTAAGACAAGGGGGTTGGGGGGGGCAGATCTATGTGAACCGTGCTGATAAAGACTGACCCCTTTCCTGAACGAAAAGCAAGCCAGGCAGACATTCATTTTCTGTAAACAAGAGAGTTGTGAGAAGCAGCCTAGAATTCTGATGGAATGTCTCCAGTTTCCCTAGACATGGCAGCCGCGATCCCGGTCCTCCACCCCCCACCCCAATTACTAGAACGAGGGAGCAGAATGAACTGGTAAAATTATTTGCGGAGAACTAGAAATCCTGTTGGGAAATGTGAATCTGAGATGATAATGGTTCTTAGGCATGATTTGCTGACTTGTTTTGTTTCAAATGCGGCTCTCTTTTAGAACTGAAGGAAAGTGATAGATGTGAGTATAGGAGGGAAGAGGTGGAATGCTTTTCTTGCCCAGCAAGAGCCCTGTTAGGAGATGCTGGACACAATTTTCCACTGGCCAGTCTCCCTTCCTGGCTGGTGCGTTTGTGATTATGCAAGTGCGTTCCTGAAGCGTCAGGTCACCCTTAGTGGGACCTAATTTGGGCTCCTGCCTTAACTTGGAGCACAGAAAACTTTCTGGTGACTTTTGACCAGCATCTTCTGGCAGAAGAGTGTTTTCCCCAATCACCCTTTCTGGTGAGTTTGTCCACCAAGTGACTGTAAGAATTCAGTGTGGATGTGAGTAGAGGTCTGTTTCCACCCTTTCTACCTCCAGGGTAGTTGTGTTTTTAAACTTTCCCTAATGATTCACAAAGACACCAGGACAAGCAGATTCAGCAACTTGACAACACAGCTTCTGCCTCATCTGAACGCTTATATGAAGTGTCTGGCTGTATTTCTCTCTGATAGTGACCTAATGTCCTAATGCAGGGTTTAAATCTAAGCCCTGTGCTTCTCCTTTGAGAATGTTTCCCATTTGGTCTCTGCTTCCCAATCATTTGTTATCTTTGCTATTTATGAACTGTAACAAAATTTTGGAATTTCATTTATCTGCTTGCTTTTCCTTTCTTTTTTGGTTATCTGCAGGACACCACAATATAAATTGAGTACTGTTAGTGCTCTGCTTGAAATGAAACTGAATATAAATATTGCAGGCAAAAGGCCTTGTTAAAAAGGACTCTTTCCTCCGTATACTATTCACATCTGCCCACTCTGTATGTAGGTGTAAGTGGCTGCTTATGGACACTTACACATACGTATCTAACATATCTTTTAGAGGTGTGCAAAAAGAAGAAACCATTTTCTATAGGATTCTCCTAAAATGATCTGCAGGTCTTGTTAGAGACAAAAAAAAGTTGAATGCATTCATTACTTCATTTAAAAGTCACATAAAATCAAGTTTCCCTTTAAAAAATCAAGGAAGCATCAACTTTCCTTACTTCTGGCTACTTTTAAATGGGGATGTTAACTTGATTTCCTGTGGAAGTCTTGAAACCTAATTGTTAGGAAATACCAAAATTTGTTCTTACAGCAAATGAACTTATTGCCTGAGATAGAAAGTTGTAGATGGGACTTCTTGAAGCAATCTATAACAAATATTGTTGTCATGTGCCACACCTACATGATCCACTAATAAATTTGTTATTATGAACATAATTGTGCAACTAACAAAATCAAATAGAAATGTTTATATTACTTATCTGCCGTAAATGTCCCCTGTAAGGATACATACTCCTTCATATAATAGTGCAAAACAGAGGGCTGGTCTGAATGCAGTCTGCAGCAAGAAAAGGTCAAACTGTTCCTCCTCCCATCCCATACCCCCATTTCCTATTG